CAATCCCTCTACGACTCGTTCGTTTGTTTCAGTAATAAATTGCTACTGACGCATGCCAGGAAGTAAGACTCGTCATAAACTTGTATAAGCAACTTTCTAAAGAGGTGATTACTTCAGCATTTCCTATCATTCGTGCTACTTCAGAGTGCCTCCTTATCCAGCGAGAACGAATGTGAAGGGGGCTTTGTTTTTGACCTGCTAATTGCAGACTGCTGATTAAATGAAACTATTATAATTAATACAGTTGCCACTTCGGATGCGAATTATTGAAAAATTGTGCGTTTGCACTGCCCTTTGCTGGATGCGGCTATAATCTATCTGTGTGACTATAAGTACTTCGGAAAAACGTCGCGCGTATCGTTATTATAAAAATTTTGTAACCATCAGAGTGTTAGAGCGTGTTGTAGTTTTGAGAGCAGCAGATGAAAGGATTGCTAGTGACTCAACGTAACGTGTGGCAGATTGAGCCAAACACTTTGTTTGGTTCGACTTGCGCTTCCAGTAATACTTTGCGACTTAAAAAGCAAAAAATCATTTTTTACATTTTTATCCCCTTTCGTTTGCTAAGCCTGTGAGTTACCCTTAATACATTTAGTACTTCTGATCACTTTTTTGAGGAAAAGATTACCGTTATAGGATTTGTGTTAATGGTCATTTGCTAACGGAGCGGACGCTGTTGCGTAACGGCTATCGGCTGTTAATCGGCAATAATCACTTTTTCCGGGTAAATTGCCCAAAAGAAACAGTTGATATGAGTGCTTCAATCATGGAAGAATCGAATGCTATACTTTTCGACTATTATGATGCATGGCAGGAGGTAAGGCATAAACAGCTTCATTTTTATCCCTTAATGTCGTGTGCTCAGATATCCCTAGCATTTGTTAATGAAAGTGGAAAACTATTTTAGTTTTCTTTCCCTCTGTTTCGCTTTCTCTCTTCCGCTTTACTAGTAGCAGTTCGTCTGAAATTTATATAACTGCACTGCTTTCCGAAATTTTGCCGCAAATTATTTCAATTTGCCATCAGTTTTATTTGCGTCCAGAAGTATTGTTCTTCCTCCAGATGAACTGAATTTAAACGAAGCATTCTATTTTTGAAAATTCGGCCGGATTCTGTGCAGTAACCTAAAAAGAATTTAACGATGGCAAGCCTCTCCAAAATTTGTCGTTTCTCGGGCAAAACGACTGGGTATCTACAGTCAGCTTCTCTAAGTCAAACCCCTTTGGAAAACAGCAAATTCAATACGAAAATAGCAAATTCAATGCCTGATTTGTTGAAACTGTTTTCCAGGCGAATCTAGCTTCTTCCAAAAAATTTAATTTTTTCATGTGTTTTTTGACTGAGCAGCGACAGTACAAAAGGCTCAATATTTTTACTTTTGTGTGCTAACAAGTAAAAATATATTTAATGCAAAACAGAGCATTAAAGTAGAAGGAAAACCGAAAGAGGAGCTCTGAGAAAGAAAAGAGGTGAAGAAAGTAAAGATGCGAACAGCTACTTTTTATCAAAAATGTATTTAAAAAAACATCTTCAAAAAAGG